ATCGTAGACTTGTGCAGGAGTGATTGCAGTGAACCTGAAGTGATCTTCTTCTTCACTGGCAATGGTGGTACACGGAGGTGGTCGGTTTCCGAGATGAATATTGGGATTCTGATTGCACTGAGCGCTGAAGAAGCGACAAAGAGCATCAGCTTTTGCCTCGCTGGATGTATGATTTCCAACATCATCCTTTAGGAGTTGTATATCATGCTTCTTGCCATCAATATTGCACAGGCGTTTCGCTCGTTTCCACCACAAGTAACCTCCTGTTCTACCTTTCCTTAGAGTTGATGTACCTAGTGCAGACAAGTAGGAATCTCGAGCGCGTCGGATGGTAGTTCTGTATTTGTTTCTACAGAGCGTGTATGCAGCTTTGAGGGTGGGATTACACAAGTCTCGGCGATGTAACTTATACAGGCGGTTGACACGCTGTCTGAGTTTCTTGTGTGCGGTTTTGAACCAAGGTTGGTTATTTGCGTGGTATGGTTTGGAAAACAAAATTGTTGATCGACTGATGGCCATGTCTAAGGACGAGCAAAGTGCCAGGCATCTATAGTCGATGTGTGCCTCACCACCAATGCACTCCATTAAAGGCATAGTGCTCAGTCTGGTGCGCAACATGTCAAAAATCAATTTTCCGTTTTTGGATGTCGGTTTTCGTGGTGGTGGCGTTGCATGCTCCTGGTGTTGAAACTGACATGTGGATGGTAGACAAAGCCGACCACGAGATGGAGCATATGAGAGGGCAGTGGTCTGTGAGCGGCATGCCGACACTGCAGGTTTTGAATGCTCGTGGCACATTTGATAGTACAAGGTCTAATGATGAGTTTGACTTACGCGAAGGCCGAGTGCCGCAGTTCGTTGATATCAGACACAGTCCAACTTCATTGAAAATTGTGTTGAGCTGTCGACCTTCGGCAATCGTCTTGTCACTGATGTCCCATTCTTGGTTTCTGGCATTGAAGTCACCTGTAACCACCACGGGGCTTTGGTCGACGATTTCATGCAATACGGAAACTGCAGCAGTGAAGGACGAGATATGATGACGGGGTGGCCGGTACATACATGAAATAATGATACCGTTGATTTGCAGAGTGATCATTTCTGATGCTAAGTGTTCTAGATCTGCTCGACGACGTACGGAAAGATGTGATGCGCACAGTATGGCAACTCCGCCACCTCCTAGTGTATTCCAGTTGGTTTGGGTGCTGTCTCTGTCTCGTCGGTAAATTTCGAAGCCGCGTATTGATACTACTTCGTCTGGGGTGGCCTTGTTCAGCCATGTTTCTGGTAGGCAGAGAACATCGATGTCGTGGTGATCTATGAGGTCAATGATACTAGCTAGATTGGACTGCATGCTGCGGGAGTTCAAGGTGCTTAAAATGAATGGGCGTGAATTTATGGCTATATTATTGGGCTGTGAACGATTGTGCGGGGGGGGGGGGGTGAAGTGATATTATGTACATAGAGAGGAGGAGGGGGAGGACGAGGAAGCAGGGACTCAATACATGCATTGTTAGTAGGGGTTGTGAGAATAGAATTATTTACATGGGCAGGGACAACGTTACTTGCCTGTGCCTTTGGGTCAGCGTTGTCCTATGCATTGCTGTGAAGAATCTCGGCGAGACGCTCGTCAGTTAGAGGCACCCCTCCTTGGACAATCCGGTCGTACGGTAGTGAGCAGGCCACTTTCTTGCTCCTCAGCGTACGGAAAAGGTGCAACACGGCCTTTCGCGCTGCTTGCTGCTTTGGAGTGAGGTCATGACCTATGTAGATCGGCCTGTCGCGGAAGCGGATTTGGAATTTGTGCTGAAAGATGCTGTCCTTTACGGACTTCGATGTCCTAATGCGGATCGGTCGTGGGCGGGAATCGTTCGTGTTGTGTGTGGTTTTACCAATTCTTTCAATGGAGGTGTTGTCCGGAAGAGAAACACCTGGCTCCATGAGCATCTTTCTGCAAGTTTGCACAATATCACCCAAAGATTCAGGCACACCAAACAGGATCACATTGCTCGCACGAGAAGCTGCATCTTGTTGCTCACGCAATAGCTCTTGGACCTCTTCTCTTTTGATGTATTTTGCGGAAGTCGCGGTTGAGTTTGTCTCGAAAGTGGCGGACGAAGTGCCATTCAGAGAACGTAGCTTCTCTCCCACATCAACAAGCTCCTCACGTATTCTTCTGATATCAGTTTCAGTTTGGGCTTTCAGAGAATCGACTTCGAGCATGCAATTATCAATCTTCTTGTCTCTTGCCTTGCTAGATTTCTCCATAATTATGTTCCACTTTATTTTTGACATTGGACAAATCAAGCGTGAGCCCCTCCACTTTTTGGCATAATTTATTCAAGGTACTCTTCAGGTCCTGTTGTCCAGCAAGCAGTTCCTTCAGCAAGCTTTCAGCAGTTGTTACCGTGCTTACCGTGGGCGGGGTGTCCGCAATGGTGTTGATGGACTCCGATGATGTGCCGTCGCTCGTTATCGATCTATTGCCTCCATGGCTGGGGGTTTCCTTCGTTCTCTTCTTCAGTGCGAGGCTCTCTGTACTTCTAAGACTCCCAGAATTGGATTTGGAATCTGGCTTCCGTTTCTTACCAAAGCTAAGGCCAGTCAAGAGAAAATCTTAGTGAAAGCACTGGAACTCGTTTTTGACATCCACCTTACGAAACGTCACGTTTCCCTTAAAAGGGCAAGACGACAAGTAGCGAGGGCAAAACCAGCGCTGCTGGAGGTCCAAGCCAGAGCACCTGGCTGCTTTGCGGGCAACAATACTATACCATTAGCTGTGTATGTGTGTGTGCGCACGTGTGTGTGTGCGCATTTCTGGGTGTGTGTGCGTGTTTGTGTGTGTGCGCGCGCGCGTGCATGTGTGCGAGCGTGCAAGTGTGCGCGTGTTTGTGTGTGTGCGCGTGCATGTGTGTGCGCGCGTGCATGTATGTGACATCATCTTATATCGGTAGTTATCTGTGGATTACTATGTTCTGCGGTGGACTGCGACAGCACACATTATGTGCCAAGATGTGCACCTGGTGATTTGGAACTGTGTTATGTTTAGTTGAAAATAAGCAATGACAGAAATGATAGCTTTTGGTGCTGTATGAGTGTGTTAGGAAATCAATAGCCAATTCCAACCTCTTGCATTGGCCGTCACGTTGGATAGGATCAGCGCGTGCATTTACAACAGTGGTGACGTACTTCATATTGTACTACCGTAATGTCACATTAGCTTCAGTGTTCATATCATTATAATACTAGAGTATTCTACGTATTCACTACTATTCAGTAATCGAGTGGTTATTACTTTTGAAATATACTTCACTCACCAATTCATTGCTCGCTATTATCTACTTGGTCCGCCCAGTTAAAATTGGCGCTTATCTTCACACTTGTCTCAGGAAAGAAATACGAATATTTGAAGCAAGCCACGATCACAAAGCACTATATACATGATTATTTACATGTCAGTAAGCAACTCAGTCGAAAATTCAAGCAAGTTACACATCCTCCTCGCCACTATCGTCGCTGGAGGAAGAGCTCAAAATGTACGATCCGGACAGCTGCTGCGCGGGTCGTTTCATAGCTTGTTCCACTTCTCCTCGTCTCGAATCACGCTCAAAGGCAGTGCGTGCCTGTCACCTTCCCATCAGAAGATGAGTGAGACTGCCCGCATGTTGACTGTAAGTGTTATCCCCGTTCGTCGCAATAATGCGACTTTGTTTGAGACAAAAAGGCAACGCCATATCAGTGTCCTTAATGCTGCAACGAAGCTGTTGAGTCATCCATGGTCGCCGACCTGGGCGAGACTGGTGTGTACGTGTTGGTGCAAAGTTAGTACAGTAAAAGTATGCTGTGTTGATAAGCGAGTGATGCCAATGCGACCAGAGGTCTGACATTGATAACTGCGGAATTTCCTCAGCTGGTGGCAAAAGCTGCATTGAGCCCAGGGCTTATTTCAGTGCGACGACGCGATCAGGGTTCCAGTTCCAGCGCCAAGTTTCGACGTGTTGCTGGATTGCGGGTGCTTGTGGTGGGCATGCAAGGGACACATGTCCTCCGACGAGTACATGATCTGACGCTCCGACAGGAGGATATGATGTGACAGATAGGTCTTCTTCTGGTACGTTGGAGATGACTACGTCGAGGCAGGACTTCAAATTGCCTTTGGAAATACAGATAGGAAAAGACAGGTGCTGGTTTAATCCGGCAGTGTTCAGTGGGTAGCTCAGCAGGTCGCCAACTCTATCAGTGGGAAGCCATGAGGTGTGTTTGCGTTCATGCCTCCTACCAATAGAAACGGAGAGTTCATATTGCAGAGACCTAGACGGGGCAACAGACATACGACGACCCCAAGGACGACCACGTCTGAGATGGATCGACGTTGTCAAGAAAGACTTACAATGCATTAATCTGTCGCTTCTGGATGCTGTGCAATCTGCTTCTGATAGAGCTGCTTGGCTCAAAATTGTTAACAGATGCGTTGACCTCATGCAATGAGTGAAATGCGCACTGTCATTATTATTATTATTATTATTAGACAGGGCTCCAGTTGTTGGCAGAATGTGTACGGATCTGTGCTTGAAGGAACGTAGAAGCATCCAACTGTGAGTAATACATTCGATAGAACAAATTCAAGCCAAAGCCTTTCGAAGTTGTTCATCGTGATGATTGTTTTGTGTTTGTGTGGGATGGATGAGTGAACATACACGGCGACTCCTCCGCCTCTACAGTGCTGCCGATCGTGCCTATAAAGGGAGTAGTCGGGGAGTTCGTGTAGGGAGTCTGGCTTATTAAGGGGATTTGCCCAATTCACCCCTCATCAGTTGAGCTTGAGTAGGCTGAGGAAGATTGTGCCTGAAGAGCACCACTTATGTTGCTCTCCAAGCACAAACATCAGCAGGGATACCAACGTACAGAGACGCTCCGTTTCCAGCGCGACAAACACCTCGTGAACACCAGATAGCAGCGTGAGTCAGTGTCGCTCCAACGGTCCTAAGCGTTTGTTCAGCACCATCATGAGCGACATAACGGGAAAGCTGGGACAACAACTTTTTTTACGGAAGAACAAGAAGACTGAAAAGGCAAGACTGAAAACTCACTAATTACGTATGCTCATCTCACGCATGTATGCTAAACAAGAGACAGTTTGGGGAATATCATTATACAGAAAAGAAATATAATGTCATCGCTTTACAACACCCACCCCTCGATGACATTCTACAAAATCAGTACATGGAATAAACCAACACCACGTTCCGCATGCACAGTAGCAACATGTAGCAAAAGGAAACACAGAAAATGGAAGACCCACAAATGAACTAGCAAATCAAGTGAAAACTCGGCAAACCCAAAATGCGACTACGGTAAAGTACTATACGCGAGGCAAGAGACATTGGTAATGTCATCATTCAGAAAACCAATGCATAGTTCTACAACAAAATGCCCTGAACATAGGCTGTTTTGCAATTATATATAAATCAAAGACGTGAATGGTTGCTAGCGGAGGGTGATAGGATGGGTGCAGCAGCAAATGCAGTTTAGGCCAGGATACTACTTGTACACACACACACTTGTCAGATCATTCTTTTGCTCAAATTCCACACAGTGCACGCCAGCACAGAAATCATGTTTCCAAAAACGTACACCCCTATAACCGCATTTCCTGGCCCTGTTATCTTCTGATTTGGTGCTCCTGCCGACATTGTTCGAACTGGACATGCTGGTCCAATAGAGCAGTGCCTGTTTAGTGGCATCCACTGGCAGGTTTGGTTTGCCTCTCGATATTCGCCTTGTGGGTACGCACATGCCGGTTGCGGCTGGAGGACTGTGAGAATGCCTGTTCACAGCCCGGGATAGTGCACTTGTATGGTTTCTCTCCTGTGTGTGTTCTCTTGTGTTTGGTTAGTGCTGTTTGTTCATAAAAACGTGAGTCGCATCTGTCGCATTGATACGGCTTCTCCCCGGTGTGTTTTCGGACGTGCACAGTTAGACTACGCTTCTGCGAGAAGGCTTGTCCACACTCTGTGCAACGATATAGCTTCTCCCCGGTGTGCACTGTCAAGTGTGTTTTGAGCGATGACGAGAAACTCCTTTTGCATTCCTGGCAGACTCGTTTGGCTTTGGCAAATTTTTCAGGTTCTTTACTCGACGGCTGCTGTCCAAGTACGTTACTCGGTGGTAGTGGCTCGCTGAGGTCATGGTGATGCGGTGACATAACCTGCAGCCTGGGAATATGTGGTGGCTTGTGATGTTGTTGTCGTTGTTGTTGCTGTTGTAGGCCTCTTGCTGGTGACGGTGATAGCAACACATCACTACCACGCGATGTCGCAAACTCATCATGATGTAATCCTGTATTTACATCGGAGCGCATAGAGGTGGAGACTTTTGGCAGGTAGGGAAAGATTGCTGCATCACTCAAGCTGTCGAGTAGGTTAGGCTGAATGAGTGGTTCCGCCTGACCTGGGTTTAAGGAGAATGGTGTCGCTGAGTAATCAGGTTCTTTCATTGACGGCTGCTGCCCGAGTAAGGTGCTCTGTGGAAGTGGTTCACTGAGGTCGTGACGACGACTTGGTGGCATTTCCGGTAAACTTGGAATATAATATTGTCGTCCTTGCCTTGACGCGTCCATCGCATTCGTGTCACCAGTAGGCGCAAACACATCATGAGGGAATCCTATATTTCCAAATGAGCTGACGCCTATAAAAAATTGTGGCGGGAACGGAAAGAGTGCTGCATCACTCAAGCTGTTGGAATTATGCTGGTAATCCAGCATTAGGCTATGCGGAAGGATCGGTGCCGTCTGACCTTGGTGGAAGGAGAATGTTGTCGCTGGGTTTTCACGTTCTTTCATTGACGGCTGCTTTGCGAATACGTTACTCTGTGGTAGTGACTGGCTGAGGTCGTGTGGACTTGGTGGCAAGTCAAGTAAGCCGGCAATATTTGGCGGCTGGAGATGCTGTCGTCTTGGCTGTAAGGCTATTGCTGGCGCTGGTGCTGCCATCAACTTAATATCACCCAAAGGCGCAAACGCATCATGATGTACGAGTCGTGTGTTCACATTGTAGCCCATGCCCGTAGAGCCATCTGGCAAGGAGGGAAAAAGTACTCCATCAAACAAGTTGTCATAGTGCTCGTGATCCAGAAGCTGAAGATTTGCTGCCACCAAATTTGATAGGTAGGAGAATGGTGTCGATGCGCTGCGTGATTGGTCTTGTGGAACTAAAGCGTCGTGAGTGTGGGGGTTTGACGCTACACCACTCTGACTGAGTTGATCAAAGGTAAACTTGCTCATCCTGCTTGCGTTGCTATTGTCCATGGCAAAGACAAAAACTCACAAGGTGACACAGAAACAAAATGGAGAGGTTCTGAACAACGGTTGCAGTGAATAGGCATGAATCTGGGTGGTGGTACGAGTTAATAGGGAGTTGATGGTGATGAGATACGATGTTGAGGTGCAGGTGGGAATGTCTCTCAGTTAGTGGTTCTGGAGTTATGCAATGTTAGTGCTGCGGGTCGATACAGGTGAGAAATGGGAAATTGTTAGGGGTGTAGGTGTGTAGTCTAACCATAGGTGTTGGTGTTCGTGGACGATAGACGTTGCAAATGTGGCAAGTCATGCTCGATAAGATATGTGTGCCAGGGTGATGGTGTGCTGTATTAGTCTGCCATCAGCTGCAGACGGGTGAGAGGTTGTAATCTGGGCAAAAATTGAAGGGCTGTGATTGACATTTGAATAGAGATTCACGTGTGCAATGTGTTTGTGCATGCAGCATTGTGTAGTTTTTTTTTCATTTGGGGAGGGGGAGGGGTAGCCATCATGATAATCATACTCTTTGAGGTGTCGTTCGCTTGCTTCTTGCCATAATTCACACTGAACGCATCTCCTGCTTTATGCTAAGTCAGCACTCACATGCATGGTTATCTGCCAATCTGTGCAGTTTTCTACCTGAACAGTTGAGGTATTACTCTCGACATAACGTTAGGTTAGATTAGAGAGGTTCTGAAAAACGAAAATGCGTGCAAACCTTTGCTCTACATCATGAAGTGATTGAGTAACTTCGCACGAACTTTCGCAACTTTGTACTCGCCACTTGTACATGTTGTCTTGGTGGTATGGCAAGTAACCTGGAAATATGTGGCGACTGGATATGTTGTCTTCCTCGGTGTAAGACCATTGCTGGCTCTGGTGCTGATATCACATTACTGTAACTCAAAGGCGCAAACACATCATGATGTGCGGGTCATGCATTTACATTGGAGCTCTTGCATGTGGGAACAGCACGCCATCAACCTGAGACTTGTACCCTATTGACCATGACTTGTCACCTTTACCAATTCTACGTTCCACGCATACCAACACCTTTTGCCAGTCTGCACTCTGACCATTTCCTTTTTCTTGAGTGCATCGATCCTCAACACTTACCACCCACAACTTCAGAACCACTAACTGAGAAATATTCTCACCTGCATCTTACCACTGAATCTCATCACAATAAACTACTTTTAAACCATTTCTCACTCTATCAATCACCAAGAATCCTGCGTATTCACTACAATTGCTGGTCAGCATCTCAAAAAAAATTATTTTTCGACTTGTGTACTAATTCTTGGCCATGGACAATAGCCATGCACTCAGGATGAGCTATTTTGCCTTGGATCAACTCAGTCAGAGTAATGAAGCGGCAGGTACCTACCCTCATAACAGATTGGTTCAACCGAAGACCAATCACACTGTGCACGGACACCATTCTCCTACCTCCGAAGTACGACTGAATGCACCAATTAGGTCCCGGCGGATAATGCTGGAGAATTTGATGGATTCTGCCTTTCAATAAACTCGCATTCTGCTCCAAAAAGAGCACTAATAATGCTGGAATTCTGCTTCGGAAAATGGAAATAGAGGCATTTATTTTGTTGCAGATTGTTAACAGCATACATGTATTATGGAGTAAATTCTTTTTCTATTCATGCCGCAATTTTCTTTAATACACTGCATGCCGAGTGGCGCAGACACCACCGTACCTTTACATTTGCAAACCAACTCAGGGATCTTTTTAAAGACCCAGTGGCGTTTAAGAAGTATTTTGACCTTCTTTTTGGAATCTGTTGAGTTTCTCGATGATCTTGATAGTTCTTGTACTAAGCTTGAAGTTGACTTGGTGTTTGATTACTGTACTGCTTGATGTCTGGATTCCTATTTTTTTCTTTTCCTTTCTTTTCCTTTCCTTTCCACTTATCCCGTGATCGGCCCTCTTAAAAGTTGTGTGTATCACTGTTGAGGCATCCGATGGTAAATAAATAAATACTACTACAACTACTATTATGCAGCATAAGTCATGTTCTACGAAACAGAAGACAATAGAAGAACCACCGAATTATTGTTACTCAGCAGGCAAAGGCGCGGTAGGTGGTACTAGTCGCGAGGGCATTCCGAATTCTCACGAACATCCCATATTTTGAAACAATATGCTAGTCTTCGCAAGAATATGCTAGTTCTCGCAAGAATATGCTAGTTAGTTTTCTGCAAAACGTACGGGATTATGCTAGCGCAATGCTAGTTTCCAGAATGTGCTAAATATGATAGATATAATGTTAGCTGAATCCGCCGGGGCCTAGCACGAATCCTTCAGCCTAACTACTTGGTGCGGGATCACCCGCGCTATACTAGCAGGCTGCGTGACACACCACCCTTTCCGTCCTTGCCACGAGTCTCTACCGGCATTGACTCGATTGTAAATACAGAACTCGTACATCATCCATTACCTTGTATTGGCACATTTAGGGTACCCTGTAAGAAGGCCTTAGGCCTGTGGGGATTGCCCTATCAAAAATTTAGTAATAATATTAATAATAATAATAATCAAGATGCGTTTGCGTCTCCGGATGATAGTAATTTGATGGCAGCACCAGAGCTGCCTCTAGTGCATGTGTGCGTGTTTTTTCTTGCCTTTTACCCTATGCTGGTGTGTTTGTTTGAGGTTTATGAAGTTGACGAAAAATTGGTAGCAAAGAAAACGGAGGTTTGTGATGTTGGGCGGGAGATCGGGAGAGGTTTCAATACATAAAAAAATCGGGAGATCTTGTGGGTGATCGGGAGATTTGGAACCTCTACCAATGTCCATGGTGTTCTTTTTTGGGACCTCTTTCCACTCCGCTCATCAGCACCTAATCCCTTCCAATGTCGGAATTCCATTCACTCCCCCAATAGCTTAGTTCTACCCTGCGTTTTTCATTCACGCTACGGTCTGTTTTATATTTCTTATTTGGCTGCAGACAGATGGAATAGAGATCCATCTGATATTCGCACTGCTGCATTCTCTTTGCTATTTGGACATGCATTACTTCGTAGAGTACCGATACAGTCATATTGTGACGGAGTCACGGCCATTCGTACCCAGGGGCGCAGGACACAGAAGACAAGCACTCGTTTGTTTGCAATAACGTATTTGAACTAGGACATGACATGACGGGATACCAGGGACAATAACTCCACCGGAAGGAACAAAAAGACTCCAAAAGACAAAACTGAAGACTCAAAAATCACGAATGCTCATATAACGCATCTATGCGAGGCAATAGACAGTTTGGTGAATGTCATCATGCAGAAAAACAACACATCGTTCTACATCACCTGCCCCCTTGATGACATTCTAAAAAATCAGGACACGGAACAAACGAATACCACGTTCCACATGGACAACAGTCACATGTAGCAAAAGGAACCACAGCAAAAGAGAAAACCACAAACGAACCAGCAGACATTGTATCAAAACAAGCCAAAACTTAATGCTATTTTGTATCATATAAATCAAAGAAGTGATGGTTTTTGATCGCGGAGGGTGGAGGGATGTCTGCACCGGCAAATGCGTTTTTAGGCAAGTACGAGTACACGTGCATGTATGGCGGTCTGGGTGTGGCACCATATTTTGGAAGTTGAGGGTATGAAACGTACATACCCAAATAGTAGTACTGAAGGCACACACACGCACACATGTCAGATTCTTCTATTGCTCATATTCGGCACAGTGCGCCCCAGTGTGCAAAGCATGCCCCTGCCCATAATTGGAATAAATCTCACGTAACCTGAAACTTCTGTCGCTGGTATCTTCTTATTTGCTGCTCCTAGATCCTGCCGACATTGTTGTTTTTGAACTGGTGATGCGAGGGCAATAGTGCAGTGTCTGTTTAGTTGCATCCACTGGCAGGTTTGGTTTGCTTCTCCATATTGGCCTTGTGGCGACGCACATGGCAGTTGCGGTTGGAGGACTGTGAGAATGCCTGTTCACAGCCCGGGATAGTGCACTTGTATGGTTTCTCACCTGTGTGTGTTCTCTTGTGTCTGGTTAGTGTCGTTAGCTGAGAAAAACGTGAGTTGCATCTGTCGCAATGATATGGCTTCTCCCCGGTGTGTTTTCGGATGTGCACAGTTAGATTATGTTTCTGCGAGAAGGCTTGTCCACACTCTGTGCAACGATATGGCCTCTCCCCGGTGTGCACTGTCATGTGTCTTTTGAGCTGCGACGGAGAAGAGAAACTCCTTTTGCATTCCGGGCAGACTATTTTGGCTTTGGCAATTTTTTCAGGTTCATTAGTCCACGGCTGGTGTCCAAGTACGTTACTCGGTGGTAGTGGCTCGCTGAGGTCATGGTGATGCGGTGGCATTACCTGCAGGCTGGGAATATGTGGTGGCTTGTGATGTTGTTGTTGTCGTTGTTGTTGTTGTAGGCCCCTTGCTAGTGATGGTGATAGGAACACATCAATACCACACGATGGCGCGAAAACATCATGATTTAATCCTGTATTTACATCAGAGCGCATGGCGGTAGAGACTTTTGGCAGGTAGGGAAAGATTGCTGCATCACTCAAGCTGTTGGGTAGGTTAGGCTGAAGGAGTGGTTCCGCCGGACCTGGGATTAAGGAGAATGGTGTCGCTGAGTAATCAGGTTCTTGCATTGACGGCTGCTGCCCGAGTAAGGTGATCTGTGGAAGTGGCTCACTGAGGGCGTGACGGCGACTTGGTGGCATTTCCGGTAAACTTGGAATATGTTGTCGTCCTTGCCTTGACACGACCATCGCATTCGTGTCACCAGTAGGCGCAAACACATCATGAGGGAATCCTATATTTCCAAATGAGCTGACGCCTATAGAAACTTGTGGCGGGAACGGAAAAAGTGCTGCATCACTCAAACTGTTGGAATTATGCTGGTTATCCGGCATTAGGCTATGCGGAAGGGTCGGTGCCGTCTGACCTTGGTGAAAGGAGAATGTTGTCGCTGGGTTTTCAGGTTCCTTCATTGACGACTGCTTTCCGAATACGTTACTCTGTGGAAGTGACTGGCTGAGGTCGTGTGGACTTGGTGGCAAGTCAAGTAAGCCGGCAATATTTGGCGGCTGGAGATCCTGTCGTCCTGGCTGTAAGGCCATTGCTGGCGCTGGTGCTGCCATCAACTTACTATCACCGAAAGGCGCAAACGCATCATGATGTACGAGTCGTGTGTTCACATTGGATCCCATGCCCGTAGAGACTTCTGGCAAGGAGGGAAAAAGTACTTCATCAAACAAGTTGTCATAGTGCTGTTGATCCTGAAGCTGAAGATTTGCTGCCGCCAAATTTTGTAGGTAGGAGAATGGTGTCGATGCGCTGCGTGATTGGTCTTGTGAAACTAAAACGTCGTGAGCGTAGGGGTTTGACGCTACACCACTGTGACTGAGTTGATCAAAGGTAAACTGGCTCATCCTGCTTGCGTTGCTATTGTCCATGGCAAAGCCTAAAACTCACAAGGTCACACAGAAACAAAATGGAGAGGTTCTGAAACAACGGTTGCAGTGAATAGGCATGAATCTGGGTGGTGGTACGAGTTAATAGGGAGTTGATGGTGATGAGATACGATGTTGAGGTGCAGGTGGGAATGTCTCTCAGTTAGTGGTGCTGGAGTTATGCAATGTTAGTGCTGCGGGTAGATACAGGTGAGAAAGGGGAAATTGTTAGGGGTGTAGGTGTGTAGTATAACCATAGGTGTTGGTGTTCGTAGAAGATAGACGTTGCAAATGTGGCAAGTCATGCTCGATAGGATAGGTGTGTCAGGGTGATGGTGTGCTGTATTACTCTGCCATCAGCTGAAGGCGGGTGAGAAGTTGTAATCTGGGCTAAAATTGAAGGGCTGTGATTGAAATTAGAATAGAGATTCACGTGTGCAATGCGTTTGTGCGTGCAGCAATGTGTATTTTTTCATTTGGGGAGGGGGGAAGCCATAATGATAATCATACTCTTTGAGGTGTCGTTCGCTTGCTTCTTGCCATAATTCACACTGAACACATATCCTGTTTTAGGCTAAGTCAGCACTAACATGCATGGTTATCTGCCAATCTGTGCAGTTTTCTACCTGAAGAGTTGAGGTATTACTCTCGACATAACGTTAGGTTAGATTAGAGAGGTTCTCAAAAACGAAAATGCGTGCAAACCTTTGCTCTACATCATGAAGTGATAGAGTAACTTCGCACGAACTTTCGCAACTTTGTACTCGCCACTTGTACTTGTTGTCTTGGTGGTATTGCAAGTAACCTGGAAATATGTGGCGACTGGATATGTTGTCTTCCTCGGTGTAAGACCATTGCTGGCTCTGGTGCTGATATCACATTACTGTAACTCAAAGGCGCAAACACATCATTATGTGCGAGTCATGCATTTACATTGCAGCTCTTGCATGTGGAAACAGCACGCCATCAACCTGAAACTCTTACCCTATTGACCATGACTTGTCACTTTTGCCAATTCTACGTTCCATGCACACCAACACCTTTTGCCAGTCTGCAATCTGACCATTTACGTTTTCCCACCTGCATCGATCCTCAACACTTACCACCCACAACTTCAGCACCACTAACTGAGAAATATTCTCACCTGCATCTTACCACTGAATCTCATCACCATCATCTACTTTTAAACCACTTAAAAAAAACTCTATCAATCACCGAGAATCCTGCGTATTCACTACAATTGCTGGTCAGAATCTCAAATATTTCTTTATGTTTCGACTTGTGTAGTAATTCTTGGCCATGGACAATAGCCATGCACTCAGGATGAGCTATTTTGCCTTGGATCAACTCAGTCAGAGTAATGAAGCGGCAGGTACCTACCCTCATAACAGATTGGTTCAACCGAAGACCAATCACACTGTGCACGGACACCATTCTCCTACCTCCGAAGTACGACTGAATGCACCAATTAGGTCCCGGCGGATAATGCTGGAGAATTTGATGGATTCTGCTTTTCAATATACTCGCATTCTGCTCCAAAAAAGCACTGATAATCCTTGATTTCTGAATATACAAGAACCACAGAATTGTTATTACTCAGCAGTCAAAGGCGTGGTAGCTGGTAGTAGTCGGGAGGGCATTCCGCATTCTCACGAACATCCAATATTTTGCAGTAATACGCTAGTTTTTGCAAGAATATGCTAGTTCTCGCAAGAATATGCTAGTTCTCGCAAGAATATGCTACTTTTCGCAAATTATGTTAGTTAGTTTTCTGCAACACGTACGGGATTATGCTAGCGCAATGCTAGTTTCCAGAATGTGCTAAATATGCTAGATAATTATAATGTTAGCAATATCCGCTGGGGCCTAGCACCAATCCTTCAGCCTAACTATTTGATGCGGGATCACTGGGGCTATACTAGTGTAATGGGTAGCCGAGTGGTAGGCGCGGTGAAATCAACAAGAATTACTTTTATTCTACTTCTTTCAGGTACACACCTGAGATATAATTGTTAGTGAAAGAAGAAGCGGCAAAATAACTGACTTTCTCTCCGGTGCACACCTGGAGGTTGAATAGCTCGTTATTATCAAAATCTCATCTTCATCAAAACAGAAATGCGCAGCCGCTTTTATGCAGCAGACGCCGTACGCTTACATACGGAGATACACTAAATATACATCAGGCAAAGCTCCGTATTAGTTCCGTACTGCTTCCGTATTGGTCGGGCAGGGATACTACACCCTCCCTTCCTACAGATAATCACGCCCTCGTGATTTTCAAAAAATTAGTGAGGAGTTACGAACAACAGCGTCAACCGGAAGATGGCAAATTATATCGGAAATGATAACGTTTAGAGTAGACAGAAGAAATGAACTGATAACAAATCATAAAATAGAAGTAAAAGCACACCAGGTTCACACGATCTCACGGGGTCAAAAGGCAAAGAACTGTCCTCCAAATAGGACCTGAAACCACAGCACTCTTGCTGCACTACGCTGGCACAACCCGCCAGGAACATCGCAGTTCAAAAACCGAACTGAATACATTATAACTATAAGGGGCGTTGTCACACACATTGTCCCACGTTAGCTGGGTAAACCGTGGCTCACCATGATCAGACGCCTACCAAACTAAACTGGATTCACACACTCGCATAAAGGAAGACTGAAGAGAACAGGGAGACTGAAGGAAGACAGGAGAGAAAATGCCATACCTGGAATCAGCGTTAGTAACCACGGAGGCGGCTGGAGCTATGGCGGAGGGCGAGCCAGGTTTTATCGTCATCTTGGTTGAGCCGGTCACTCAGAGCGGCTAGCTCGGCGTCAGACAAATAACCTCCCTCCTCGTCTTGAATCGTGGTCTTCACATTGTCGATAGCATCGCTTTGCGCGACGTAAAGAGTGATGGTCTAGCCAGGAAGAGTGTTGACGAAAATCTGCTTCCCACCACGGAGGCGAAGTACCGAGTGAGCTCCTGCTTCCGACTGCGTGCCGGCGAAAATCAAACGCTGCTGGTCTTGGGGAATACCCTCCTCATCTTGGTCAGAAGCCTGCCTGTCGTCGTCCTCATCAGCTTCGCTATCACCACCGGTAGTATACATGTAGGTAGCGGGTCGCTTGGAATCGCCATCTGAGTCTCCAGTGTGTGCCGTGCGGAAAGAATGGTGATCCACGTTAGCACCCTGACTGTGCTGCAGATTAATAAGCATGGCCAAGCCCAGGAAGGCAAGAAACATGATTCTCATCTTGATTCGTCGCAGGGAGCTGCAGCGGGTTGAGCCATGGGGGTCTGGGGTCGAATCACGTTGTTTTATTTATTTTTTAAACACACCGCTGCCACCAATGTAATGGGTAGCCGAGTGGTAGGCGCAGTGAAATCAACAAGAATTACTTTTATTCTACTTCTTTCAGGTACACACCTGAGATATAATTGTTAGTGAAAGAAGAAGCGGCAAAATAACTGACTTTCTCTCCGGTGCACACCTGGAGGTTGAATAGCTCGTTATTATCAAAATCTCATCTTCATCAAAACAGAAATGCGCAGCCGCTTTTATGCAGCAGACGCCGTACGCTTACATACGGAGATACACTAAATATACATCAGGCAAAGCTCCGTATTAGTTCCGTACTGCTTCCGTATTGGTCGGGCAGGGATACTACACTAGCAGCCTGCATGACACATCCTTTCCGTCCTTGCCACAAGTCTCTACCGGCATTGACTCGATTGTAAATAAAGGACTCATACATCAAGATATGTTGGCGCCTCCGGATGATAGTAATTTGATGGCAGCACCAGAGCTGCCTCTAGTGCATGTGTGCGTGTTTTTTCTTGATATTTACCCTATGCTGGTGACTTTGTTTGAGGTTTATGAAGTTGACGAAAAATTGGTAGCAAAGAAAACGGAGGTTTTTGTTGTTGGGCGGGAGATCGGGAGATCGGGAGAGGTTCCAAAAACATCAAAAAATCGGGAGATCTTGTGGCTGATAGGGAGATTTGGAACCTCTACCAATGTCGATGGTGTCCTTTTTTGCGACCTCTTTGAACTCCGCTCTTCAGTACCTAATACCTTACAATGTCGATATTGCATTCACTCCCCCAATAGCTTATTTCTTTCCTGCGTTTTTCATTCACGCTACGGTCTGTTTTATCATTCTTATTTGGCTGAAGACAGATACAATAGAAATAGATATTCGGACTGCTGCATCCCCATTGCTATTTCGACATGCAGTACTTCGTAGAGTACCGATACATACTGTTACGATATCACGGCCATTCGTACTCAGGGGCGCAGGACACAGGAGACAAGCACTCGTTTGTTTGCATTAACGTATTTGAACTAGGACATGACGGGAAACCAGGGACAATAACTGCACTGGAAGGAACAAAAAGACTCAAAAAGACAGAACTGAAGACTCAAACATCACGAATGCTCTTATCACGCCTCTATGCGAGGCAATAGACAGTTTGGTGAATGTCATCATGCAGAAAACAACACATCGTTTTACAACACCTGCCCCCTTGATGACATTCCAAAAGATCAGTACACGGAACAAACGAACACCACGTTCCACATGCACAACAGTCACATGAAGCAAAAGGAACCACAGCAAAAGAGAAAAACCACAAACGAACCAGCTGACATTGTATCAAAACAAGCCAAAACTCTATGCTATTTTGTATCATATTAATCAAATAAGTGAGGGTTTTTTGATAGCGGAGGGTGGAGGGATGTCTGCACCGGCAAATGCATTTTTAGGCAAGTACGAGTACACGTGCATGTATGGCGGTCTGGGTGTGGCACCATATTTTTGGGAGTTGAGGGTACGAAACGTACATACCCAAATTGTACTACTGAAGGCACACACACACGCACACATGTCAGATTCTTCTATTGCTCATATTCGGCACAGTACGCCCCAGTGTGCAAAGCATGCCCCTGCCCATAATTGGAATTAATCTCACGTAAACTGAAACTTCTGTCGCTGGTTTCTTCTTATTTGCTGCTCCTGCCGACATTGTTGTTTTTGAACTGGTGATGCGGGAGTAATAGTGCACTGTCTGT